AAAGAATTGTGCTTTTTTGATACTTTAACTTTTTTTTGAAAAAAGCACAATGGAAAATAATTTTTCGATCGTCACACCTTGAAAATAATAATTAGCGTTGCAGACATTTTAATTAAAATATCTTTCATCTCAGCAACTAGGAAAACTGAGAGGCTGAAATTTTGTGATCCTATTTCCAGCATATTTGTCATCCTTATAATCTAAGATCCTCACTCACGCAAAGGCGCCGAAAAAATTGCGGTGGGAAGAAGATTTCAAGAACAAGCTAGAAAGTTGAAATTTCACGCTGATGCTTCCTGTCTCTGTGCGAGCTAAAATTTTCAAATTCCACATTCTGTACATGTCAAAGTTTGTAGTTGGCGTTGTGCCAACTTCAACGCTTACCGAAAAACAGTAGCTGAAAATTTGTCAGAATATTTATCGTCCATTTGGAGAATCGTAAAACGGGTTTCAATTTGCACTTGCGCCATGACTTAAGTATGGAGTTTTTGGAAAAAAAGTCGATTTTTGAGACCCGAGTTGCACTTGCTTTAAGCTTGTACTGGCCTGAGCTTCAGGTGATTTCAAAAATGGGTTTTTTTTTTTAACGTGTCCGTATTGTAAGCCTTAGGCCTTTTTTTTTAAATTTTTGTACACAGAAAAATATGACATAAAAAACACATTTCACATCAAAAACAATTTTCAACATTTTAATAAAGTATATGTTTTTTACACAAAAATTATCGCCATTTGGCGATGCGTGTGTACACGTACTGGATGTGCCTGTGCTGGGTGTGCTTGTAATGGATGTGTGTGTATGTGCGTATGTGTGTGTGCGTGTGTGTACTGGGCGTGCGTGTACTAGACGCACTGCTCAGCAAAAGACAGATGGATCGTGCAAAAAAGCAATGTGCCTAATCAGTGATCCTGGAAAAGCTGTAATTTCTCTTCCAGAAAAACAATTATCCGCCAGACCATGTGATTACTTCAACGGTTCCATTAGGGCCTCGGGATCTCGGCTGGATTTTTTTTTCGAAATTGCGGGAAAAACACGTTTCAAAATCGTCGGTTCTTGGTTTTTTCGATAAGCTACTTTAGTGGTACTGATATTGGTCGTGGTGCCAAGTTTCTTGTTCTGGGATGTTAAATTGCATGTACTGTCTTGGAGATCTGCACTTTTTAGTAGGTTAAAGGATACTCCCTCCTCCCCCTCCTCCCGTCCATCCCCTCCCGCCTCCGACCTCCCACGTCGATTTTCACTCTCTCTAAGAGACGGAAGCATTTGGGAGTAGCCCGAGTGGTAGTAAATGTCAGTAGCAACCACACGCTGGCAAAGTTAGTCGAGGGTTTCCCCTTTGTTTAGAAGCAAGCTGATGGCGGGTTTGACTCCCTGGCATGCACAAGTACCATGGAAACGAATCGTAGAGGGATTGGTTGTCTCACTGGTGGATTCGAACTCCCAAGCCTTGGAATGAGCGTAGAACTACTTGTCAACCACGCCATACCAGTCCACATTTATCTGGTATGTCACGACAAATTGATACCCGGTGGTTCAGGTGACCTAGTACCACAGAGTCGGAAAAAAGGGCACAGAATACTTGGGTGACAAAGTACTGATCAGAACCAAGAGGAGAAAATATGCTATATACTGAAGAGAGTACAGTGATTGATGCAAATCGCAAAGTTATTCATTTTTTTGCGCCAAAATTTTGTATTTTGTAGGGTATTTATTTTAACTGCCTGTTGTTTCATCGTTGCGTCTCTTCTTGTCATTGATGCAACTGGCAACTTCTCCATTCTTCTCTATTTTGAGCTTCTCTCATTCACATAATTCCATATAGCTGTTCAAGTGGATTCTTCCACCGCGTATTTTTCAATGTGGCTTGAGTACCCTTCAGTAATCCGTTTTATCCCCTTTCTAGAATACTTTCATTGGTTTTCAAAATGGATTTGACGTATCAAAATAGCCTGTTAAATGGTCTTGGTAGGTTGTCCGTTGATGCTCTAAAATGTTCATTTTGCAGGATAAATGGCTGATTTTGACGAATCTCTGCTTTTGCAAGCTCTACCTGAATACTATCGACGGCATTTCCCGACCAAAACGCTTTGCAAATGGTTGAGCTATGACAAAAGTTTGTTTTTTGGACAGATTCCTAGGAATTTTCATGATTCTCGGGGTGCGCACCGGTTTTTCGCGCCCCCGAATTTTAACATATTTTCAGGTGATGTAATTAAATTCACATAATTTGGAGATTGGCTATTTTCTATGCAGTTTTGTTCAGTAGATTTTTTTTGCTAATATGGTTTTGAAGATGCATTTCATAGCTAAGAACCATATCTTTTTGTGAGAGGTGGAAGAAGAACTGATTTTACAATTCAGTTGATCCAAGGCCTGTTATCAGCTTTCTTTCTAAGCGACTGTTGGAGGAGGGAGCCATCGACAGCCTTGCCATTGGATTTAATATATGCTACTACTCGGACTTCTTTCACGTATTTCTAATTCCCTTTGAAAATAAATGCCGAGGCCGGAGGGGAGGGGATATCTTTAAGTATGCCTGAAACTGTTGAAATCTCCGTTACGCGTAAAACCCCCGAAAAATCACATTTTTTTCTATCTGATAAACAAACAAGCAGAGAAATTATGCATTTTTGTATTTGTATAACTCCCAGACGACATATAAAAATAAAAACTTAATTTACTGGAAAAGCACGTTAAGCGGGAATTGCAGTACTTTACGGGAGATATGCTGCAGGAGCTTTCTGACCCTTAAAATGTTTCGTTTTATGGCTTGTTGGACTCTCGCTAACTTTTTTACGCAGTAGGTGTGATATTCCATGTTTCACTTCCATAGAATCGAACTGAAATTGAAATTGATGTTGTACTGAATTTGGAAAAAAAGTAACTTAGAGAAGGCTATCCATCCTACTTTTCTTCTGCTTAACTCCACACTTTATTTGTGCTTCATCTATATTATTTATTTTGTAAAATAAAAGTGAATTTAACCATAAAAATCCTGAGAATAAGCACAAATTTATGAGCGCATAAAAATCAATGTTTGTATTGCTTAGTCTTACAGATCCTCTTATTTATTTTATGCAAGAAACTGAATTTAGTCATATAAATCTTGAAAGTAAGCGCAAATTTTGTAAGTGTAAAAAAGTAGATAATAGTTAGTCTTGCAGGTCCATCGGCTTATTTTCAATTGCGTGAACTCGCGTTTATTCTGGAAAACGATGTGCATGTGCGTTTTCGTAGCTTCAGTGATTGTGCCGAGTTTGAGCGTGAATTACGTCGAGCAAACCCGCGTAAACTTGATATTGGAGCGGTTTATAATCACAAGGTTTGCGCTGCAACTTTTGTCCTCCGAGATTTTTTGATTCTTACAAAAGTTTGGTGGAAAAATAATGATTTCAGCCTCGCGATAACAAAAAATTTGCGGATTTTCGAGCAGTTGAACGTGAACTTGTTTTTGATATCGATCTGACCGATTACGACGAAATCCGGACATGCTGCACGTTAGCTTTAGAAGTTTCGTAATCGAAGTCAGAAATAATAATTTATGTCAATCTCACGATTAATAATAGCGATTAAAAATGACGATTTAATTATATCGATTTAATTGCTAAAACTCTGCTTTACTAGCTTTATATATACATTGCAGCAGTTTTTATTATACATTCATAGTGGTACAAACATGTGCCACTGGTACATTGGCATCACGGGTTCCGCATGCTTTATCGAGATTCTTCAGATTAGTAAAATCGAGATACATTAGTATATTAGCATAATCAAATTCCTCACATATATTAGCTTTATACATTTACTTCAATATGCTTTTGATATATTAGCACTGCCGAATTCAAATGCATTATATACAGTAAAATCGAAGCGCTTTTGCGTTATTGGAACATAATTTATGCGTATTCTATCCTTCATATATGGATATATCCATCGGTTTCATACATATCACCATAACCGTCATACTGACGAGATCCAGTTGTGACAGTGAGAAAAAAAGTTACATACGACTTAATGGACCGAAATATTTCTTTCCGGCTAATTAAACTTTTAATTTCAAATATCCTGCCTTCGCATTTTCGTGTTTTGTAGTATGTTATTCTAAGTTAGTTATCACTGCTGTTGTAGCTATTATTATTGTTATTATTACGAATATTACTACTGTTATTATCATTATTATTATTACCATGATATTCATGATATTATATATTCATTATATTCATGCATATTCATGATAGTATTCTGTCTTACGACTAATGCTGTTGTTATTATTAATTTCCTTTATTAGCATTGCTTGCTTCTTCACATGTATTAGTTTCGACGGTCTTTATGTATTCACACTGAGATAACGGTCTAACTGTTTGATTTTAATAATAGTAAAGGCTAATTTCAGTGAAGCAAAAGTTTGCGAAAAGTGTTGGAGGTGGCTGTCTATTGCTGTTGACGTTTTGGATTTTCTTTTGAAAAGTTTGTTTTCTTTAAATTTGACGTTTCTTTCCTTCTAGTATCCGTTAGCGTACCAGTTTCCACCAACTGGTTCTATAATATTTTCGTATTTTTGAAAATCTCTTTTTATTTTTGCTTCAGAGCATTTTGGTTTCCGTCATCGCTTGTGGGTTTTTTCTGGTCGTCGTGGTATCCATTGTTGGGTTGCGGATGCTGTTGCTCGTAAGCTGCAAAATGCCGGACGGTCGGCAGTTGCCGAATATCTCTCCGTAATCGTTGTAAGAATATTAATTTTTTCTTTTTTCATGGTAAAGACATTCTCGCTTAACTACGTTTGTCGTGTAGGAGCATCCCAGTAACATCACTAACACGAAATCTCTAAACCAATTGTCTGAGCGGTTTCGTTATCCTTGATTTTTTTTCCTCTACATGTTTTGGATCTTATTTTTAAGGTTCCTGCGCATTCCCAGTCGGTACCCCCCCCCTTTTTTTTTTCGGTGTATTTGCACTGTACCTTTGAGCGTCGTTCTAAATTTATTTTACTTTTTTGTAGATACCACACACTAATGCGTAACATCCACTCTGCGATCTAGGAATTTATTTTCAAATCCACTAAAGTTTTCTTCGTCCCAAATTTTTGAAGTTATGCCTTCACATCTACCGAAATGCCTTCGTTTATAAACTTTTCTCTAGACCATTTGTAAATTCTGTGGTGTGTAACAAGCATCGGATGTGAAAAGTAATAGCCCGGACGGTTTTAGGAGTTGTTTCTCATCACAGGAGTTGTTTTTCATGGTGTAGTGGTGTATTTTGTTTAAGGAACACATCGGGAGGTAGCATGATCGCGGAAAGTTATGGTAGTAGCTAGCTGAATGAGATGTTGCAAGGACTTCAATAAAACACTATGGAATTAAACTACGCATTCATAATTAATAAAATGTAGTACATATGATGTGGGCAGGGTCCCCATGACCCGTACTGTCTTTTATTTATTACTGATACGTAATTATAAGTGAACAGTGTATGTTTAGGCCCAGCAAAATATTGTCAAAGCAGCGACGAAAAATAAATTCGTTCATCCAATGCTCAAGGAAGTATATAACATCATCGTCCGAAAGTTATTTTTTTCCTTTCTCGCCAAAATCGTGCATTTGTTTGGAATTTTGTGAACTTTTTCTCTCACAGTGAAGTTCTGGATTCATTTCAGCCCTGAAACGGGCAAATTGATGTTCGAGCAAGGCTGGATGAACAATGGAGGTTTGCACTCATTGCTAGATGGATGTACGGATAGC